TCGGTAGAGCATTTTGTGCGTATGTATGAGGAGAATTTGCTCGGATGTTGTAACTAAGAATACAAAATCTGAAGATGCTAACAAAAACTAGCTGTTCATATTTGGTATATGGTTCTCTGGAGTGCTTTGAATCAGAATCGCATCTGTAAGCCATCCTAGCCAGGGTATTGTAGATTGGGTGGCGGTATTCACTTAACATCAGGTGAACAGCCTATTCGCTTCCGAACTTTTCACATAAAAAAGAAATTACCAGATATGTCACTCAATATTTTCAATATTTTTCCACCAATCCATAATGGAGTCGCGTGCTAGGCTATTCCCTAATACTCTCTGTACAGAGAATTTTGCCCGGTGGATCTTGACTCGTTTTACTTTGTTTTTTATATAGTTTTCAAAATTCATGTTCAAGGATCGAGATAATTTCTACTCAGTTCCCGTGAGTTTTACAATTTATGGGTATGCATGTTCTTCTGCTCTCGAAAAAATATTCCTAACGAAGCCTAGGGCAACAACACATAATTTTGTAAAATAGAAGTTAGTCATAAAAAATGTGTAAGTAAGTTAACGAACTGTTTTTATAATTCAGGCCATTAACGATAATCTGCGATAAAATTAAACTATTAACACAAAAATAATGAGGTAAACAACATAAACGTTTATATTATTGCAGCTGCGATAAATATAAGCGAAAGCATTGATCACGTGAAACGCGAATTCTTTATCACGTTAAGCGAGTTATCTACATATTTATGTTTCTCAAGCCCACGATACATGAATATTGTGATTAAAATAGTTTGTGCCCAACGATGTATTCGCAGTAAACACAAGAGAATAAGAAAACAAAATCGGAAATTTATATTAACTCAAAAATGAGGAAACTTCATTATACGAACTAACAAAAGTCATAGTGACCCCTGTTAGTAGACTTGGTTAAGAAGTAGCTAACGAGGAAACTTATGAGAGAGCCAAAGGGCTAGCCGAGCTTGGGGCAGAAATTGACGTCGCCAAGATCTTTGAGGAGCCGTGATAGCTCAGTGTCCGGGCGCTCGCCTATATTTCAATATACTCGAGCAACCTGAGTTCGATCCCCGGTGCCGGCACCAATGAAGTTTTTAACTTTAAGTGCTGACTTATCACGTGCTCCGCAGTGAAGGAAAACATCGTGAGGAAACCTGCATATTTTCGAAATAATAACAAAAAAAATATTTTTCGAAGATATGTGAATTCCGCCAATCCGCAGTGGGGCCGCGTGGTGGACTATGCCCTGATACCCTCTGTATAGAGGAGGCCTTTGCCCAGCAGTGGAACATGTATAGGCAATGCACATACTGCTACCTAATCTTGGGGGACCGAGGGAGGAAGTTCGCCGCCCCTATGCAGGGGTTGTACGATCCGTAGCTTTGTACGGGGCACCCGTTTGGGCTTTCTACTCGACGCTGTAGATCTAAGGTCTATAGCGTTCAGAGACGAATAGCTATACGGGTCGTACGAGGATATAGAAGCACATCATTCGAGACGGCTACTGTCTTGGCTCGCTTCTTACACCTAGATGTACTGGCGGAAATGGATGCGCGGATGTACCACCGAAAACGCGCCCTCCGTCGCTGTGGTGGTAGTGAGCCAGAAGAGGCGCTTGAATCGATTAAACGGCAGAACGTGCATAAGCGTGTAATTGAAGCCTTCCTGCTAGTCTTCAAGACCTGGATGCAGCGGCGACAAGGTAGACTCACCTACAGGTTAACACAGATAGTCACAGAAATTAAAAAGATTGGACGTGAGGTGACGGGGATTTGTTTCCACTGTGATGGAAACAACGAAGACCCTGCAACGCATACCTTGGCGGTGTGCCCTGCCTGGGATGCGGAGCGGAGTGTCTTGGTGGGCCACATAGAGTGAAACCTCAATCTGCCTACAGTCGTGTCGGCGTTGATGTGAGGCGAAGCAGCGTGGAGCGCCGTAGCGTCTTTCTGTGAGACTGTAATGATCCAGAAAGAGGCTGCTGAGCGGGATCGAGAGAGAACAGATCCCACTCGGAGACGGGGCCACCAACGCGTCCATGCGCCTCGTCACGGCTCTCTTAATAGAAATGGTGCTCGCCTACCAGAAACGGGGCCTAAGGGGTTCTGATCAATTGGGGCGAAGCCCTTAATTGCCCAGTAAAGCTCCCATGAAGATAAGCCCGGTGGCTTAATGTAGTCTCCACCGCGGGGATGCTGGGGCCAGCGTAATACCGTCCCTGAACGAGTCTATCATAGGCAAGCTAAAGAGGGGCCGCGGTAGCGTTCCGAATGGAGATCCCGCGACCCCTCATCAGAGCAGTTGGCGACCACCGTGGGGTTTTAGTCGGTGCGACCCCGACATAACTTGATTCTTCTCTAACCGGAAAGCTAGGTATCCATAACGGATTTCCCCACAAAAAAATAAAAGACTTAATATAAAAATAAAAAAAAATGCGAATAATCATAACTTAACCCTACCATTTTAAAAATGCTGGATTAGTTATTAGGCCGAGGCGGCTAAGGATCTTAACTTTCTTTTATATTCGATTAGAACCCATTTTCTTGCCTATAATAAAGTTCATGATAGTAGTTCATCATTGAAATGCAATCATAATGGTGGTAACTTACTTACGAACTTAATTTTTATGTAAAATTCGACGTTTCATAAGAACGCGCAAGCGTCTATTTGAATAAAGATATTTTGAATTTGAATTATTCTATTAAATACAATTTTATGTTATATTTTTGAAGTTATACTTCTTTTGGCGCGTTTGGAAAAAAATATGAGTAAAATTTTTACGATTAGAGCGCACACCGACCCTCAAAAAGACACATTCTTCACTTTGTTTCGCAACCAACTTAATCATCAACTTCACGGCATTACCATGACAACCATTAATAACTTTTTGACATTTACCAATAATTTCAAGTTATTTATGTACATAATTCGTTATCAAATACAATTAATGTCTTTACGCTAGAAGTATGACTTCTTACGTGCGTACATAAGTACACACATACATTTTTTCATCTTTTTATCTGATTTTTAATTTTGTAGCTCGCCACAATTCTTGTCGATTCCTTCTTGGTCAGAAGTATTAGCATCGGCGGTAATCGCGTGATCAATAGTTAAGAATTGATTAAGTTGATAGTAGAAATCCTAGTTTAGTACCTAAATAAAGAGTTATTGAAATGTAAGGTTGTAATTATTATTAATATTTTGGATTTTTTCAATACCACTGCAATGGGGCCCCCATATGACTTAGCTCAGAAGCTTTCGCGGTCAAAAAAATAAGACAGTTAACTGATGTAGATACGGCTCGCTTGGTATATTTTAGTTATTTCCACAGTATAATGTCTTATGGCATTCTGCTTTGGGGTAACGCGGCCGACATTAATACAATCTTTACCTACAAAAGAGACCTATTCGTGCAGTTTATAATCTGGGCCCCAAAGAATCGTTAAGAAACTTGTTTAAAGAGACGTAAGAAGTATGGACTGTTGCTTTTCAATACATTTTTGAAAATGTTATGTATGTCCATAAAAATAAGGATAAATTTTCAAGACGTAATAATGTTCATGATATAAATACTAGGAACAAACATAAATAATTCCTACCCACATGTAGACTGCGTAAAATGAGTAGATCTTTTATGGGAAAATGAATACGTTTCTTTCTACAACAAAATTCCAGAAAACGTTCAAAATCCATCAATAGCTAAATTTAAAAAAGTAGTAAAAGAACGTTTGTGTGTTAAAGGCTACTATAATATTAATGATTATTTAAATGATAACACACTCTGGTAATGAATTGATCGCTTCAGGCTCTTTCACTCAGAGTTCTTATATTGTATTTGTAATGAATTCATGTCAAACTGTTTATTTAAAAAAAATAAAAAAGAGCCCGCTGAGTTTCTTTCGCCGGTTCTTCTCAGTACAGTGGCTTTCATTTAGTATTATTTTGATTATCAATAAGCGAGTGTAATACTCCTATGCTGAATAAAGACATTTGATTTTGATTTGATAGTACGTAAAATTATCTTTTAAAGTCAAAGAAACAGTCATTTATATACTTCTCATGAATAACAAATGTTGGGATTCCTTTTAAGCATTATACTTACATATACAAACTCATCCATTATCCTCATAAAAGAACCAATTCCAATGTTGGCACTGCAATATAAAATATGCATCGATTTATGAACGAATATATCTCGTTATTTTTTTAAGAGTAGAAACGAACTAATTATTATAAAAAAGTAATAAAAACCCTTTTAATTATATATTTATATTTTTTTTATTTAGTGTACCTCTACTGTGCAGCTCGCTGATCATAGCCGAGAAGAGTACTTCTCTTATCTTATCTAGGTCGTTCACTTTTGACATTCAACTTTGATGTCACGATATTCACAAATAAATAGTTGAGTTATATTGTTATTTATTGGCAAGGTGCCTAGGAAAATAACTATTAACCGAAACAATTTTAAGCATGCATTGAGTTGTGTTGGAAATCTATAATTAGCAATTCTGTTAATGTTTTTACAAAGTTGCATATCTTTCTACAGATTTAGCCCATAAAAATAACTATCTTCACAATTAAATATTACCGTCAATATTTAAGACATATTGTAAAGTTGTTTTTAGAATTTCACGGAATGAAGTTAAAGTTCACGGAATGATACACTAAAATGACGAGAGAAAACAATGAGAAATAGATGTGAATATTATGTCAACGAAAAAGAAATATTAAAATATAAACAATAGAAAAGGTTCAGGAGTGAAACGAATTGAAAACTTGCAATTCGTATTTATCATAAACACGACAACTGTATACGCTTTCTAGAGTTACTACTCTGATGGTGGGAAGCTTATTTTCAGAATAAGTTTATGTTGACACCCTTTATGAATAGTCAAACTGTAAATATATATTTACCGGAGTGTCAGACGTTTAACATGACCTAATGTAGTATAAAAACTCAAAACATTCATTTAACGTTTCAGACGCAGATGAGCGGTGACCGTAGCGGCACTGGGTCGCAGTGCGGTCTGACGTCACTGCTGCCCATGTCCTGTCGTGGACGCGCCGCGGCGTTTGCACGAGACCTGCACTCGCGCCTGAGGAATCTTGGTGCTACACAAGACAGTGAATGTGAAAACAATTGGCTTACTCGGGACCCCGCTGCAACGCATCGACCTACTCCCTCAGCACCAAGGGAATTAGACACGTTTTACGATTTTGAATTAGAATGCGAGAGCCCTTCAAGTCCCGTAGATGAATACGAGGCCCCATTCCCTGAACGTTCATCTAAAGTAAATTCTGAGCCACCTTTCTACGATGTAGATTCTGACACGAATATCAAAGACCAAAGTAGGTTATTGTTAAAACAATGCGATAAAAATAAAAATGGTTTTAAGTTCTCTACTGCGTTTTATACAGACTGTTCACCAGTGCAACTTCAACCAGTTCCGCGAGAAAACGGTCATACAGACAAACCACTCTATTCGCCTATAAGTTTCGAAGGATGTGCTCGGCAAAACAGCTATGACGAGATTGATTGTGCAGTTAAAACTTCAACAGTCGTAGGGCCAGAACGATTTAACTCGCTGTTTAACCATGCGTCTATAACTGATAGTGATTCCGAATTTGAGTCGGCAAAAAGCGATCCATCTGATATTAATGATACTGTACACTTGGAAAAGTCTGTAGATAAAGATGTTACCGAAGAAGTTGAAAATTTGTCAATTATAGATGTAGATTCATTTGAAGAAGATGCCTCAGTTGACGCAGTAGACATTAATGTAGCGGCAGAAAATAATATTGACTGCAATGCAACTGAAATCATAACCAGTGAAATACCTGCAGAAAAAGATGTATCTCCTGCTCCAGATATCGATCCCAAGTTTTTAAGCACAGAATCTAAAGAAGATGAAGAAGCAGAAGATGATCGGCCACAGCGGGTACGTCGATGCTCATCATTGAAAACTGGTAAAACCCCACCAGGTACGCCGGGACGAAAAAAGATTGTTCGGTTCGCCGACGTACTAGGTCTCGATTTAGCTGACGTCAAGACATTCATGGATGAAATCCCAGTCATTCCAAAGTCCGCCTACGATGATCTTACTGGTTGCGATGTGCAAAATTCTCCGCCAGCTCGACCTGCTCCTAGATTTGGTGCTCTTACACTTATACCCTTGTTTCAACTACCAAACGATTTGACAGAAAAACTTGAAATGTCACCTGTTTGTCTTGAAAGTGCTCGTGTCTGCGACGGGGCTCATGTGACGGTTTGTGGATCTGTGCGTGTACGAAACTTAGATTTCCATAAGACTGTTCACATTCGATACACAATGAATAGGTGGAAGACTTATACAGATCTTCAAGCCACGTATGTGCAAGGCTCTTGCGATGGGTACTCAGACCGCTTTCAATTTGTTTTATACGCTCCATGTATAGTTTCTGGGCAGAGATTGGAGCTTGCTGTTCGTTTCCAGTGCAAGGGCCAACAGTTTTGGGACAATAACAGAGGAGCGAATTACTGCTTCGACTGCTTGGCCTTGGGTGCGACGGCGCCGTTGTCTACTACGCCCGCTGCTCTTCACCCTACTGTTGATTGGCACCCGTCGTTTTACTGACGCCGTGTTAATCATTATGCAGGTTGTCAGTCTTAGTGACGGAGGCGGTGAAGAAGAACGAGCCAGAGTCCGGCGGGTCCGGAACAGTAAACACGCTCAAAAGATTGGAGTTTCTGATGATATCAGGCAAACGTATATAGTGCCTATATCGACAACGATCGACTTCTCAGAGAAGCAATAAATGGCGTCCTATTTTAAAGAGGCTTGAAATGTAAAGCGTTTTTGTGATATAATTTAGAGTAGGTGTAGAATTTATTCTTGCGATGAATTTTTATTCGTCTCGTTCGGAGTGCCATTCGCAGTTACGATCTTTCAGGCCTCTAAAATATGTCTATGATTTTGTAGTCTAGTTTACGAGAGAACATTTAAACGATATAATTACGATATAAAAATGATTATCACGAACCAGGAAATGAATTGTAGATTATGAAATATTTGTACATACATGGAGGGTTGTAATTCTGAATGATATTAATTTTTTAATATTTTTACAAACAATTAGTCGTATTAATTAAAAATGTATAATGATTAATGTATTGAAACCTTATTTAGTTGTTACTCACAATACTGCGAAGAATAGATGCTATGAATATATTAATTATTGTAATCTTTAATGCGAATATAATTAATTTTCTATGAAAAGTAGGAAAGTATCCTTAACTAGACTGTTAAAAAGTTTTTTTTTATAAAGAGCTAAGAATTTTTATCAATATTAGTCAGGTATTAGATGAATGTTCCTGCACAAAATCTTATATTAGGCAAAATTTGTAGGAATACTTTTACTAAACAGTTTTATATTGATGTTATGAAATGCAAATATTTTCTATTTTTATATTTATGAAATATATCATGACACTTCCTACGAAATAATCGATAATAATTGTTTAAAAATTTGAGATTTTTATTAATAGAAGAAGACTAATAGAAATTATAAAATTAAATTATTGTTACTTTTAAGATGGCAGCAATATTTATAACTTCGCTTTAATTCTTTTGTATGTACCTGAATCCTAAAATGTGGCCATATTAATTTTACTATATCATACCGATGCAGCAATATCTTTCTATAGATTTAATTTAATATTGTTACTGTTTGACATCGTTTTATATAACTATCTTCCCAATTAAATATTACCCACAATATTTAAGCCATGTTGTTTTATTTTAAATTCATACTTAGAATTTCATGGAGTGGAATTTCACGAGATTTAATACGTTCTGACAAGAAAAGATGAGAAATGGACGTCAACAACAACAACAAGGAAATATAAAAATACAAATAGTAGTAAAGGTTCAGTATGACAGTAGGAATTCGAATCGAAAACTTGACATTCAACTTGACTATCAATCATACTACGACTGTATGGATTAAAGAATGTGAAAAGTTTACTGAAGTATGAAATTCTTCAACTTTCAAATGTTTACTCCTATTAGGATGGACAGTAATAGTTTATATAAATTTCCACAGAATTTATCATCCAAAGTGGCTTAATAAGTAGGAAAATTGTCATCGTTCTATCATTGCCTCATGAATATGACGTTTGTGAGACAATTATTTGAGCTAGGGCCACGCAACAGTCTTCGATGTTGTACGAATGGGCAGCGTCCGGGGAAGTACATCGACCTCACAGAAGACCGGCGTGAAGTATAAGACTAAGAGCTAGCAACGTTTTCGAGAGAGAATTTCATGTAGGCCAGTTTTTAGTTATGCTGTCTCTCTCACTCTCTCGGACGTCATACGAGCTATCTGGCTGGTGGTAGAGGTTGCGTTCATCAGTTCGCATCGTACATTGTAACATGAAATTCTTGTTTTCCCGATGTTGCCAGCTCTCGTACTAGTAGAAGTGTGACTATATTTTTGGATTTCGTTTGGTGAGTGAGGTAGCCGGGGCACATTTTATTAAAAGTTGGCAATACATCAGCAAACCCTCTGGGTGTTGCAAATGTCCATGGACGGTGGTTATCAGTTAACATCAGGTAACCCACCAGCTCTTCTCCCATAAAAAAGGTGAAAGAAATCCTCATAATAGAAAATCATGTGCTCAATTGGGCTTCGAATCAACGACCTCAGAGCTCGTTACTGTTGCTGAATAAATACACACAAAATAACAAAACAACTAATAAGTGAAACATGTTTTATAATCTTGCTATTTAATTTACATAAGCTGTTTTGCCGAACACATCTCTTAAAAATAAAGTAAGGCTAAAACATATCACAATTATTGGATGATATTTTTAATAAATAAGTTTATACTTAACACACTGACATAAAACTATACTATAATCAACATTTAGAATAAATGTGATATCGACAGGTCTGGGGCGGGACCTTTTCATAGATAAATTTCTCTTTTATAATCCATAAAAATACAATGATTAAAGCACTTAATGTACGAACTGTACATATTTGGATAGGCGACGAATTCGCAATGTCAGGAATAAATTTTGTTTTGTAATACTTGCATTCACCAAGAATGAAATACGCATACAAAGATTGTAATAAAACTTTAGTAAAATCGTTTTCAGTAAATAGAGAATATCATAAAAATAAATTTTGAGTGTATAAATGAATTAACATAAACGTAAAAAGTCCACATATTATAATTAATTATGAATCAGTTATATCGACGTAATGAAGATATACGTACCAAATACTTTACATTTGGTCGCTCGAACAACCAATGAATTTTAAATATCAATAATTTCAACTAACGTTAAAAAAATCAGCCTCATCGGTGCTAAAAAATCACCTACCAGAACAAGTCGTACATAAAAATCCATTTACTCATGTAACAGTAAGTGATAATTATTTTAACTAAAGCATTTACATATTCTCTACACGAGACGCCCATAATAGCAATAGGGCATTCAGTTGTATTCGTTAATAGCAGTCTTATCCCTAGACTTACAATCACATTAATTTATGTTCGCAAATAATTGTCGTGGAGTTCCGTTTGCACCGATTTCCTCGTGGTCGTCGTGAGGAGCGGCAGAGCAATACTAGGATCTCTTAGTGCCCGTAACTGCGTGTAGAGTCGCTGTTTGCAAAACTCGTAGAACTCTATTTCTCTCGTGAAGTTCGCCCGGACGATTTGCTTAACCGCTTCGGACACCGGAGGCTTGAAGGCGTTCCGATTGATTCGGTTAAACGTGTTCAGCTCTTCTATAATAACAGAAAATTGTTTAAAAATCTTAGTTTCTTCGTTTTTTTTTTAAACATTGTTCTTACTTTAGGATAACATGATCCTGTGTTGATTCGATCGAACCCTAAACTAAAAGGACTGCTAAAGTTAAAATTTTAATTATAAATAATTTTATATAAACAAGTTGCTTGTGAAAATCTACATTTGCAATAGCACACTGCAATTTTGGTTGGTATTCACAAGACGAACGGTTGTTGCTTTAAACTATATCAATTGAGTGAAATCAAACAGCGCCATCTATAAGACTACGAGTAACATAAAAGTTAAACTAACTTAGTACAATAGAATATGACGCGGTTGACCCAGTTGTCGCAGGTTGTCGGTTGCCACTCGGGACATATATTTGTAAGGCCCACAGATAATTGTCCCGTATCTACCACCATAATTGTCGTGTTTAGTAGCCCACAGATAATTGTCGTGTTTCTTTGTTTAATATGTATTTTATGTTTGTAGATGCTTTACTAAGAAATACAAAAATGAAGATACAATTTCTGTATGTTTATCTCTATCTACATAATCGTACATCACACAAACTAGAAAGGAGATCACAACGTAGTTCTTAAAGTAAGTAGTCAGTATGCAGTCGGAAGTTAAGGTATAAGATTTTAAATTGACTCACCCCAGTACAGTCGCAGGGCGCCCTGGAAGAATCGCGGAATGTACCGCTCGAAGGCCAGTAGTGTGGCGTTCATGTCTTCCAGCACACCAACCACCGCGTATTGCTCTTCAACCACGCGCTTAGCTCGTTGCAGGGCCTCGTTACTGTTGAACGGTCTGCAACAGATTTAAAGCTGTCAACACCGATATGAAAAGCTAAAGTTATACTTGCCAATGGCGAATGCCTAAAAAGACGTTCGCCATTGGTGATGTTAATAATTCCTTAGTACAGTACATATCATATTATGTATACAGACAGTACATAGTACTATCGACATTCTTGAGTGCAGAGATTACCATTAAAAATAAAAATTAATATTAAAAATAAAACTATCGACATTTCAAATACTATTCGCTGTGTCCGATTTTGTATGACCTACTATGATATCTCTTCTGTGGTGTTTTTCTATATCCGTATGAATGTCTTCAATCATATTCATAAAATGAAAAAAAAAAAAAGCAGCTGCACTTCAAAATAAGTTTACACGTACCTTCTTTGAGTTAAAGCACGGTGGTGCTATATTTACAACTATATACATTTAGAAACATATCATGTTGAGTAGCTAGGAACAAATTTAAATGATTTAGAGCATTATTAAATCCTTTTAAAACATTTGTTAATGCAGTGGATTATTTTTAATGCAGAAGTAACATACAAAAAAAACCGAATGCCGACCAATGTTGAATTACTTTTATTAACCATTGATACCTATTCGATTATCGGGATTTAGAGTATTGTATATCTGAAGAGATACATTTTGTATACTCATAACATAATGGTCATATCGTTTTTTATTAGAAGGAAATTATCACATCTATTTTAAATAATTTTGTAAAGAAGGTAAAAGTAAAGCCCGGATGCTTTATTTGGCTTTTAGGAGTAATGCGCATTTATACATACGTGCATTGGGGCTCGTGTCCACAGAAGAAGAGGGTCTGTCTGCGGTGATCGCCAATGCCCTCATGCGTTTCGCCTTCGACGTAGCGGCACTCGCGGTCACCGCTCAGCACACAAGTCTCGAAATCCTGCAGTTTATTTAAGCACAAATAATATATGTACTGCGTCCAGAGATTTGAGCGAAGATCCGGCAGTTCGATCGATAAGTTATCGAGGTATGGAAAGAAGATGGCAAATGAGTGGGGTTTCAATTATGTTATTTAATTACCTTTCTCCATGACGCACGCGCAATACTAGTGGGGTTGCTTTCATATTATAAGCCTTTAGGAGGATGGCCTTTAAGATACGTTGACATGGTATGGACACATTATAAAAAGGGATGTCATGTGACTTGAAGAGTGATGAATATGAATGTGGTCGGAGGGTGCAAAGCTAGAGAAAGACCGAGAAAGATTTGGATAAACTGTGTGAAGAATCATATGTCTGTGATAGGGGTATTGAGATGACGGCTGATAAAAGAAAGTGGAGGGAAAGGACATGCTGTGCCGACCCCACATGGCACACCCTAGAATGGCATAAGGACAGGAGGAAGAAGAGCCTTTAAGTGGCTGGCCATTCTCACAACACCTTACTCGCATTGAAATGCGGTGCTTATCTGAAGGGGCAAGCCTATTCGCGTTCAAAAGCTGCTGAAGTGATACTAATGTTCGCATTTTGTTGAATTAATTGTACTATTCGATCACATTAAAATGTCTGAAGAAGATCTTCCATTCCCATAGACACATTTTAGACTTGATACTTATACTTCCTAGTGTATTTTTATTTAGTTATTTGTTAACTGTTACTTCACGATCTGCGTAATACACGTTAGCGCCTACAAGAAATGAATAATTGTGGAAATCTGACTGAAATGTTTTGAAATGTTGTAGTTATATCATTCTTCACTAAGTGCAAGAGTTTTTGGACATTACAAACACTTCTTCAGAACTCAGTGATAAAGTACTCAAAGTGTTACACCTTTTGTTACCTGAGACTGATCCATTATTCATGATAGCGTTTCTATTCTACCCTGTCAGTACATAAACGCATGAATAGCTTGTTTTTTCTGTCTCGCATACCGCTCTATGTTTTATACACTTAAACGACCAATGAGCAAAAAATTATCGGCGAGAGAGTTTTGCAATTGCAAACACTATTAATTTTATAATTATTTGGCACGAGCTGTCAGGCACTAGCTGGAGGCATTGCAAACAACGTCTTAGTTCCAGGCTGGTTTTTGTACCGTTTTGTAATTAGGACTGGGCGGCTGGACAAAAAATAGCTTTAAAACTATTATTTTCTTTTTCATGCTATTCTAAGGTCCTTTTATCCTACACTCCGCCATTTTATAGTCAAGTAATTTGTATGTACAATGGATATAAAATAAGAATACAAAGTTCGTTCGGCCTTGGTATTCTTGAGTTATTTAGAGCAGTTGAACTAAGGATTTTATCAATAAGGGACTTTCATTGTGGAATAAATATTTTGTTTTAGCAATGTTGCAAAGAATTGAGCATAAACAACAGGCTTTAACGCAGCGTAGATTTTAATCTCAATATCAATGCAATGGCAGGACGCAGATATGTGTTACCGAAGCAATCTTACTTTATTTTACTATACATAGCTCAGTTAACGTGAGTATTTCACAGGGATCAGTTACACTTCTAAATAAGTATCTAAGTTCATTTAATAGAATGAGTTATGAACTATCGCCCCCATCTATCTATTTAGGTAAATAAAACGATGGAGGCCTGTCATTGCGCGCGCATCATGGAAAAACTACTGGACTGATTTAATTCTTCTATGTCATATTTCTTAGACACTTGACCGTTATGAAAAAAAATATTCTGACTTTAAAAGTTTTAAGAAATAGCAATTTTAATAAGCTCTACGTGTTCAATGTTGTGAGATTTCTTATTGTGCTAGATAAAGTGCATCGTTAATGTATTAAGCGACGTAGACGAAGTCGCGGGTATCAGCTATTATAAATAATCTTTTAACCCGACCTTACTTGATGTGATCGTGATGAACGTATTTTTTTTATCGTTTGCGAAACGTGACTGCGGCATCCACAAACCACTCATCAACCGTCAGAGACCCAAAAAAAGAAACGGCGCACACAAGATCTCAAATATTAGCGAAACAATTAAATAATGGCAAATTAAAGTAAATTGACAGGCTATACATGTCGCACTGCTGGGCAAAGACCACCCTACAGAGGCTATCAGGGCATAGTCCACCACTCGGCCTCACTGCGCATTTGGAAACTGTTTAGTCTTGTGGATATAGAGATATGTGTATATCTTATATATATATATATATATATATTTTATGATTTCGGAAATATGCAGATGTTTACTTTCCCCACTGAGCACGGCCAGCACTTAAAATTAACAATTTCATTAGTGCCAGCACTGGGGTTCGAACTCAAGTTAATCGAAAATATTGAATTGAAGGCTAGCACCCGGACACTGAGCTATCACGGCTCTGGCAGGTTAAATAATTATAATTATTAGGTTCGTTTCCCACCCAGGACAAGTATTTGTGCGAACAACAGATGATTGTTCCGGATCTAGGCGGATTACAAAACCTAGGCAATACGATTAACAATACAATTCACATGTAGTGCCCATCTATATATAGTAAGGGTAAGGGGAGATTAAAATTCTAGCAACGAAATGTCAATTTATTAAATCATTTATTCCTATTTACTTCCGATCACATACAAACAAAGGTTTTTTTTCCCATAGAAATATGTAAAAGTACGAGCAGAAATAAAATATAATTCATTGAATATTTCTTATCCTTGGAAAGAGAAAAATGATGCGTTAAGTTATTCTTAAAATAATTTTAATTTAATTTGATGTTTTAAGTACTTTTAATATTATACTATTATAATAATTTATAATTACCTGTCATTACATTAAGTATTACAATAGATAATAAAAACACGTTCGTACTCCCCTCCCAAAACAGTGAGTACCTAAAGTAACATGTATTGGACACATTCCTCCACGCACTCTATACTAGTTTCGAGAAAGAATTTCTAAAAGAAAAAAACAACAAATTCTCTCAATAACGATACTATATTTATTAAATTCGTGGATGACTCGTGCAAAATGATTTTCTAACATCGTAATCCACTTAAATACAAAGGTTTTTTTACATCAAATTGAATTGTGATCAATGTATTGTTTCAATATAATAGAAATTATCTTTGATTTATTAAACAGATATCAGATACGAAATAAACGAATATTGTAGAAGTAACTTATTAAATGTACTACTTTACGATATACCTGTTATTACTATATACTATTTTTATAAACAATTGGCCAGTGTTTGACCAAAATCCCACCTGATGGTAATTTGTGATGTGATATGTATAATACACTATATTATTTAAGGTGGACACAATCGATACATATTTTTTTGGCTAATCAACCAGCGAAATTCAATTACGACCAAAAAAAGTCGTGAATGAACCCAGTTAATTATTGTTGTTATTGTTGTACGTAAAAACGCTGACAATGAGGCTCACACGTCACTATTGTAAACGAGAATTACACGCTTTTATTCCACGAATCGGCGATACGGCATCCCTACGAGGGAGCTCGTTATAGATTGTTAGATGATTGGCCTATGACGGTATGCGACTCGTCCGAGCTAATGAACGCCTGGCATCCTGAATAAGCGTCGCAGCGTGGGCTCATTAAAAAGGTGAACTACATAATATAATAAATAATAATATATAATATATAATATATAATATATATAATATATATATAATACAATAAATAATAATAATAATAATTTTTACAGAACGTTTTCTAGTCCCGAACTAACCAACGCTTGTACTATGGGTACTAGAAAATGATAAACATACTTTTCTTTTTTAAATAAATATTTATTATAAATACATTAACACCCAGACACTGGAAAAACACTGAAAACATGATCATCACACAATATTTTCCAGTGGTGGGAATCGAACCTGCACCCTTTGGCGCAGGAGGTAGATACCTTAATATCTTTTATCATTTGTCCTTTTATAGAACAAGTCAACAAACAAGCAGTCCTTTTAATTATCCTTCCTTACTTATTACAGTAAAAACGCTAAAAAAAATAGAATTTTAAAACATGCAAATAAAGGTTGTGGTTGTGGACTAAACATGGTTGTGGACTAGTTATCTAATCATTAAAAAGTAATTTGATAATGAGGATAATACCTTCTTCAGCCACGCGGGATCCGGGAGGGGCAGGTCTGGGAATGCCCTCTTCCTCTCCACGTAGTACCACGGAGCCCTGACGTAGTAATACCAGGAGATGACACGTTCCACTGGATCACGCACCACGTTCACGTATATCGGCGACGGATAACCAAACCTTGAATTGAAAGAATCATATTTCAAACAATTTTATGGCCGAGAATTTTTAAGTGACCACTTTTAAAACGCACGTGATTGGAATAAACTAGAGAAGCGTGGGAGCCGTGATCCCATACAGGTCGATACCCAATAGATATCGATAAGAATCACTTAATGAGTTGCACTACACCTATATAAATACACTATATTTTTATAATTGTCCAAGTCATTTTAAACTATAAGGTAAGTGTTATTGAAATACTTATGTTAAGCAATAAAGAATATTATGTTTAGAGAATAAAAACATTTTTATAAAATATTACATTTAATGTTTTATAAATTCGCGGTTCACTTGATGTTGAGTGATTGGTATCTATAACTCCTGAGAGATTATAGATGCGTTACCAACTTTTAAGAAAGTCCACTGTGGCCACCTCACTAATCAGATGAAATACGAAAATATAGTACATTTACTGCACGCCGGGCTTCTGTGAGGCACTTCTTTCTTCTGTACTTCCCCGGACGAGCCTGCCCATTTGTGCAACACTAAAAGCTCCTTATAGCCATAACACAATTGTACAATATAGCACATTCCAAGAGCTCTGTGCCCGATGAACGAATACTGCCCACGGAGCAAAGGGCATTCATCAATCACAAAACATAATTGAAAAAAAAAAAACCGATAAAATCCGTTGAATAATCTATAAATAGCGAACAATAGAATAATTAACTACCAACAAAGGGTGCTATCCCGCTCCACGTAATTAGCCGCACCAAGGAACGGAGGACATTTTGTCGATCGAGTAATAAACGTTTCTTTATTTGCTTCTCGCTCTGCCGACACAAACAACGTTGACTTAATGATTGATGTTAGCCGTTACAGCTCCTATCTTATTGGAAACTGAGCAGTGTTAATGCTTTTAATAAGTTCTCTTTATGTTCGGCTATTATCTATAAAACTTGCGAATGACTTACAGTTACAGCGTGAAGTATTTATGTCGTGACCAAACCAAATAGCCCTGTTGCTGCCCTGTTTTTAGATAATTTTATTTCTCGAAACGACATTTTAATATAAAACACTTGTATTATTTTAGTTTTCTCCTACACAAATGGTTTAGTCATCTTATTGTATCTTCTGGTGGTTATTACGATCGACATATTATGTTTCTGTAAAAACCGCCCAAATGCGAGTCGGACATGATGGGTTCCATACCATTATCTATAAAAACATGTTTATTAAATATTTTTAAATAATTTTTTATTCTGTTTTTAGTATATGTAGTTATAGCGGCAACAGAAATACATCATCTGTGAAAATTTCAACTGTCTACCACGATTCATGAGATACATACAGACTGGTGACAGACGGAAAGACAAACAGACAATGGAGTCTTACTAATAGGGTCCCGTTTTACCCATTCATCTGAAAAATGGTATTTAACAACTTGTCATCTCACCTTGTGAAGTTCGTGTAGCAGACGTGTTTGATGTAGGAGGCGGGTGGTGGATGCGCCGATACCAAACTCACAAGTATTTGCTGGTCGGCCGGTGCCAGGCGTATTGTCTCTACTCGCTGCACAGCGTCCCGGTGGAAACCTACATACAACCCGCAATTTAGCCTTCAGCGACGTAAAATATAAACATGATAATAATAATATAATAATACTTCACAAGTGGCAATTAAAAAAATAAACATGTGGAGCATAACGAATAATAAAACGACTAAACTCACGTAGAATCGGTGTACACACTGACTAGTTTCGCGCAAGACGGGGCGCGACCGCGAACTCTTCTCACTCACCCTGCTGAAGGTTCAAACTATTTAATATTTTATTAGTTTCGGACCTTTCAGAGACCCTTGTACAGTTTCATACACCGATTCTAGGTGAGTTTAGCTGTTTTATTTTTCTGTTAAGAACACTGTGAGACAACGAAAGTTTTCATAATTTTATTATGTGGAGCATAACGCATTTGTTACTCTATAGACTAGTAGCGTGTGTGGCTATCTGTCTAGAAAAAGAAAGGAAATTCATTTGAAATTATATCAATTCCATTGAAAGTTAAATTTCTCATAATATTATTCTGTTGACATGCTGCATAGTTATTGGCGTCAACAAAGCAAGACTCATTTTTAACGTTATGTATTCAATATAAATGTATTTTTACTCTAAATACTTTAAGCCCAATTCGAATAGATTCAGTAAAAATACTTTTTTGTGATGTTTTTTACATGCAACAACCATACAAACACGTAAAGAATTTTATGTTATAGTATAGCAAAAAAGATGTAACAAATATTAAAAAAATCTTGTCGCATTGCCGCTAAAAACGAAAATATTGCTATTAATACATATTAGGGAATAAATATTACAAAGTTCTGTCAGACTTATAGATAATATAAGACACCTCAAATTTGAACTCACCAAACTGATTTCGTATTGCCAGTCTTCGGAGCAGTTCCATGAACGTCTGACTGCCAACCTTCGGCACACGGTTGAAGAACAACAATTCGATTTCGGACCGCGCTGTGTTATTCAACTCCCATGGCTCTGGTATTGAGACTTCGTCGATCAGTTCCCGCTCGATCTCTTCTTGAGATCTCGGCATTTCGGCTTCTAACGTCCTCTGCGGTTTGCTACGCTCCTGTTAAAATATAACAGTTATCATTAAAATCGCCGTGTCGTTATCTATTTCTTTATTTTTTACAGGTGAAGACAAACAATACATCCTGATATTAAGCGATACAGGTCACCAATGATTATCCACGTGGAATTGTAGTTGGATTAATTATTTGGTTAATTTAAAAATAGAAAAGGGGGAGTTTTCTCACATCCGGGATATAGCGTAAAATAGAAGTATTCATACTAGGTAAGTACTTAAATTTTAAGTAGTATGAATAATACTACTTAAAATAATAAATTAAATAAATTCATACTACTCAAAATTTAATTACCTAGTATGAATACTTCTATTTTACGCTATGGCACCTCTCCGAAATTGCCAATGTATTTAGGTTATCATCTAATCAATAATAGTCTAGTTATGTAATAAAATGTTGTGTGTTACGGTAGTTACTCAATGATATATTAGCCAAAATGAACGACGTAAACAAGTTAAGATTAAAAATGCTTTAAATGTCCGTTTATTTAAACAATTATGCAAATATAATAATGAAAATGCATTATCAAATGCAAAATGATGCTTACCGCCCCGGTGTTTCTCCTTATAGCTTCAAGCGCCTCTTTGAACTCTTGAGCTGATGCATACGCGTGCTCTGTCCGGTCGGTCTGTACTCCTATGCGAAAAAAAAAATCATGTTGTATATTATTTTACCGTATACTACTTCTAAAAGAATCATAATTAGCACCGTTCTAAAGTTATGCTCACATTGACCACATATTTCCAAATTACACGCTTAATTACATATCATGAAGTAATAATTTGCATTGATGCGAACGAATCATATTGGCGTCTTTAAGTATGAAAATGCTTCGTAGATAATAATAGACTTAAAAGCTTCAACTGGTCATTGACTTCTTCAATAAGACATTCGAAGTGTGTAGTCAGGTAACACAGCTAAATTACAAAAATTAATAATACACATTCTTAAACACACTCACGTAGAATTGTAATAGTTGGAAGCTAGCATATTATAAAAAAAAAGATAACCTATGGTTTATAGGTAAAAGAAGTTTCAAGTTTGATTTTCACAAATTTGTTTTACTCAGGTATCTTAAATCTTGTCAATCGTGGACTCAATTAAATTTCAGTGAATTCTAAGGTGTAACTGATTTATAACTTGTGTTACAAATCTACCTATCTAAAAGAGCTATAGGGAATATCTAAACTTTTAGCTAAACAGAATACGGAAATAGCAAAATTTGCCACTGAGTAACAGAAAAAACGGTTATAACATCATGCTTCGCATTGGCGACGGCTGACTCTAGAACTAATCGGTTAAATTAAACTGCAGAATTCCAATAATTCCAAGCTTCTGAAATGTAATTCGCATTTGAATGTATTTATATTATAGGATTCAACCGTATGGATATTTATTTATTAATTTTATTTCCGATGATATGTTTATTTTATTGTTAAAAGAACGGATAGGTTTTAAGATTAATAAAACGTGTCAAATCACATAGGCGCACCGTTATAAATCTTTATTATATACGTAAATATTTAAACTAGTTTTCATATTTCATGTATTTTAAATAAATACATAACGGAATCGCCGATCGCATTGCCAGTACATTTCATCGCATCTCATAAATCACAGTGCTCGGTATCTCACGACGTGACCCTAGTCCGGATGGAAATTGTCTTTCACGAATCGATAATACTCAAATGAACAACATTGTACTTTGCATGATATAACTTATTGGATGGTTTCTGAATAGTAGAACGAAATTCTATAACTACAATAACAATAAAGAAGTCTATCGCTAGCCATAAGCATAAAAATTTGCAGTAACGTTAACCAAACAGAAAATAATTCGCAGCATTGGAGGTCGAAAAATCCAAGACATATTTACTATACCATACAGATTTTTGATAGATATATTACTTTGTTAAAATTATTGTATTATTGTGTTCTGGCGTTTAACTTTAAAACGGCAAAATATATTTCAGACCAAGTCCAAACTATGGTGCTATCTCAGTACGTTCTTTTGTTCGATTTTTGCAAACAAAAAATTAGGTGTAATTGGCACACGCCGTTTTGATAAAGAAAGATTAAAAAGATCGACGAAGAATGTTACAAATCAAATTACATTTGGCGTATTGATGGGCGATTTTTTGGGTTCTTTTAAAACTCTTCTATTGTGCAATTTATAAAAAGCTTTAGTGCGATTGTGCGAACGACATAGAAAAAATTCTCACCGGCAACGTGATTCCAATAGGGGCGAATATGTTATAATTTATCTAGACAATTTGGTTTCTTGACACAAATACAAAGAAGTAATGGCTCCATGATTATATGAGCAAGTCCGAGACCACATGAAAGTAACAAGAGTCAGAACAAAAAGTATCAGCATACCATTAGCAGGCGAACTATACTAATAAGTTGTTCGGATGTGGAACCGCAAAAACTACATCTTCATTCGTATGATAATGGTGACTAAGAAGAAGAATAAATAAGACGGCCGCTTCGATGCATGAGTAATGATGATATTGAATGGGAAAAAATGTTACTGTAATGATTCGTGTAGCGGGGCGCTTCCGGCCCCAATTGTTCCTCACATCACGGTGTAATATCTCGCATATGTATTGTTAATTTAATGAAGATGTTATGTCGTACCTAGATCTAGATTTCGCTGCCATATACAATTTATTGAATGTATATAATAAAACGTAAAATTACATATAAGTTATTTGTTACATGCGTAAATTGTTTTAATTGTTTTGAAACAAGCCACTATCATTTTCTTCAAAAATTTATGTCTTGTACTGAAAGTTTTTGCCATCATTTGGTTTTCTTCAAAATTCGTACATTGTACAATGGGAAGAAGAAAAATCAGAACAAGAATACACATTAGTTGTGCTTACAAATATCACGATAACGGATTACCGGCACCGTTATTCACTTTGTTGTACTTAAAGTTAATTAATGTTGCTTTAACTAACTTTCCACAAATAAGCAGATAAAACAATTAAGAGCAGTCTCAAAGATCAGTGTAAGCCCGAGTAACGTAGACCTGTTATACAATGATATTCAGATCATAAACACAAGTTTTAAAATAAATGTGAAGAAAAGGATTTCATACATTATTCGTAGATCGAACGACGTCAAGGAAATTTTGATGTATATACCTCGCGTGACCGTACAGCCGTCATTCTTAATGGACTACCATTCGAAGTTTAATGATTGCAATTTGGTAGCGCCAGCCACAAATCACCTTAATTCCTGACCGCAGGTGTTAATCATTCGTGCTAAACTGTCAATCTAATTAAGCTCTGTTTTGATGTTGCCTTAGTTGGGCGTGAAATTGAAGAATTAATCTATAAGTCAGTGACTACATTAGTTCAAATGAATCGGAACTATGATGCGATTATGACTGAAACCGAATCTTTAAACTATTGTATCCCATGAATGTTAGTTACTATTAACTTGCATACTATGAGCACTATATATGACTACGAACTATGAGCTTTAATAACAAGTTTTGAAATAAATGTATGAAGTAAGAATTGGCAATATTTAACACACTTTCTTAGAAGATGCTTTAAAAATACATGTTATTATAAATGGGATAGTGGACAGTGAAATTTTTGAGCAAATAAAAAATTCATCATACTCTATATCATAAGGCTAAATTATATTAGGAAATGTGAAAATTATCACAACTACATCCACTTTAGCAGATTAATACAGACATTTACAACGAATATCCATTAGCTATATGACGGCAACTAAGTAGTATTACATTTACGACGTAACATTGTGGAATTAATTCTGTCAAGCTCTTTTTTGTGCGTAATGTACATTATAAATTTTAGGTATTTATATATCGTAAGTCTGATAGATGCCAAAACATCCTCGTTTTCGAAATACTCCTGGATAATCCCAGGTTGGACCTTTCTAAATACAAAACAACCCAATTACTCTTCGCTTTATTGCAAAAAATCTTATTTGTAAACTCACGCTCCCACTCAGTTGACTTCATCATGATCAGCTGCAGTCTTGATCTATATTGGCCTGGATCAATGTCACTTATTCCACTTGCCTTTGACTTTCCGCATACATTGCTCTCGTACGACTCCTTTTACATTAGCATATTTACGCGCGAAAGCGGACGATGGTGGATTAGAAAATACACAGTGCGGAACTTTCTGACACAAATCCCAGTTATAACATAAAAAATATATATTTAAAACACAAAGGTCCACTCTGAAAAATAAAACATTGTTATTTTTAAATTTAGAGGACATTATATAAGATAGTCAAATTCTTGGAAGTGATCGTTGTAAACTTTATTTAAACTAAATTGTTTGTTAGAACTTTTATTTCAATTTAAATTTTATTATATCTATCACGCATGTCTACTCGATGTTACTGGAAATTGCATATTTTTGAAATAAGGCAGATCCCAGCTCCGGCCTAATTACCCGGAAAAATATCTCTGACTGTTTATGTCTTGGTATGAAGGCGTAGGCTTTTACGGGTAATTCCTAGTTGCACCCAAAGGCTATGCAATAAAGACTATTTTACATTAATAAATAGCAATAGTCTGTCCCACGGACGTTAGTTACTGGGTATTTTTTTTCTACTTCTAATAGGAGTCCGACATTATCCTTAATTGGAAAGAACTTGTTGCGCTCTTCGTCGAATTTTAAAACTTGGAACTGTTATGAAACCTATGATGAATAATTATACTTAAGGGAAAGGCTGTATTTCAAATTAAAAGTTTAATGATTAAACACTGTATACTTATACATAATTGGGTACAGATTTATCATTAAACACATTTATTAAACATTCTTTTTCTTTAGTAATTTTTTTAACACAGATAGCACTAATTATCCAAATAATTCTGTTGATTCGATCACTACAAAATGCCAATGTCACAGGATCACCCGCTGCGATTATATGAAGATTGCCTGCAAATGTCAATAAAATTGCTCGAGCCGTTTTATAATTAATAAATTTTATAATTTAATCCTTAGTGGATAAGGAACCTAAAAATGTACATACATCTATTTCTATATATCTACTAGCTGACCCGGCAAATTTTGTCTTGCCATATAAATTATTTCTAATAAAAAAAAATACTTGAGGTGGACAACCCTTATCATTTAGGGGGATTAAAAATAGATGTTGTCCGATTCTCCACCCTGGCTTCAAGCCGTTTCGGAGGAGTTCAATTACAAACAAAGTGACACGAGAATTTTATATTAGATAAAGATTGGTGATCGGCACCATCCAGGATTACTTACTTTGACAGTTATCTTTTTTAATTATAGCATCAAACATTTCGGGTTATGCGGTCCCCTGAAGGGCACTAAATAAAATGCATTGATTTTATGCTTCTTTTGGATCAAGTGTTTTACACCTTCCGCTCGAGGTTAGTTTTATTCCTTAAATTATTACATCAAGAAGAGGAACGATTGGTTGTTCGGACACTACCACATCCTCAATAAAGCGTAGTCAATTACATCTCAAGCTCGTTAAGCCTTTTATACTTCGAAGGTTTTATTGACCGCTTTCAAAGCTTTCTTGAAAAAAGATTTATGTTTACAACTTTATACGACCTTAATTATCGTGTTTTTATATATATCACTAAAACTCAGCGTTTCAATTTAATAGCAAAACGGTCGGTAAATTGCGGAATATGTGACACAATTAACTGTGACCTTCCAATTGACTTTGTACAGGGATTAGAATAGTAATAGCAGATAGAATATAGTAAAAAATTCTATTTCTTTTTAACATGTTTATAAACTTTTTTTTATTTATTTATCTACTTAATGAAACACTTGCTTAAAATACACTTCTGTGTTGAAATATTATATGAAAAAAGAACTGACGTAGTTATCATTGTTCCCAAATGTTTCTTGTAAAAAAAAAACAAATATATATATTTCTTAGAATTTTTCGGAGTTTCGATGCCAAGACAAATTCTTATCTCCAAATGAATACTTCGATCGGATCGAAAGCAAACATTAATAATTGAATACAAAAAAAAAATCCAAATGATTGTAAAATAAATTGCTTAATAAAGTTGTCTCACAATATTACATAGCTCCATCACGATTTTTGTCTCCGATAAATGAAGGTTTAACAGTATTCTGAGTTTATATGTACCAAAAACACCATTTCACCTTATAGAAATGTTTACTTGCTTGATAATTCAACGGAGAGAAAAAAATATATTATAATATATTATTATGTTATGTATATTATTTACTCCATTTAGGTTAAGATGTAACGTAAGACGTTGAAACATTATTATTCCTTAGAGAAATCGCCTTTATTTGTCGATTACAATTATATATGATACTCGCAAGTGATTACCACAGGGTAGACACAAACCCAGACGAAACTCAAACGGTTTTGTAAACGATTCCGTTAAGAGAAATTTCGTGGGCGAGACAAGAGAGGCAATGCTCGTTAGGATTACAGCAGCAGCTTTCAAGTTATATTATTTTACTTCCATTGTGCAGTGCTACGCAATTTTCAACCGACATCAAACAAGTCCCTTTTCTTATTAACGAAAAACCAAACCGACTTACAATATCTCGCTCTGTATTCATTTTATAATTGAATTTCAGGAGTTCTTATATATCTCCGGAGCCCCAGAACTTATACCAATGAAATTAATATGAGAAGCACCAGCTTTCAAATAAAAAAAGAATCATCAAAATGGGTTAACTCAGTCTAAAGTTCTGAGGTAACAAACAAACAAATACAGTAAATAATTTGTACACAAATTGGTATTTGGTAATATACAGTATACTGAGAGCAGCCGGTGTAAAATTATCCGTAAACTATGTGTATGTATTCTGGTCATTGAAAATCCGTTATATCACCACATACGAGGGGGGTCGTATGACAAACGTAGGTGTTTAACTGTGAACAGTAATTTTCATATTTAGTCGAACCCTTACTATAACCGGCTTGTAACTCGTGTAACTCATGACCTTTTGAGGAAGTAAAAAAAAGCGTCGCAGAATAAATTTCTGATACATTAAAGTTTACGCTTCATGGCTTTGAAGTTTTCTTGCGGCACAATATTTTTCCTTTTATTGGATGTTAACTTTTTAATTAATATTCTTATGTTCCTATAGCATATGTTTTACAACGCAAGTCATATTGTTGAAAATTATCTTTAGTGGAATAAGCTTGAATTCAGCTAAGTTTGAAGTACATTGTTGGAATAGAACAGAATAGAGTATACTTCATTGCACACAAGGAAATACACAGGAAAATACAGAAAACATAGTGCATATATAGGTGGCCTTATTGCTAAGGTAGCAATTTCGTCCAGGCAACCTTATAGTATTGGAGTAGTTATCTATTCATTAAATTGTAAATAGGTTAGGTTAGGTTAGTAAAACACATCAAAATGTCTAACGAGCAACATTAAAAAAATCTTTGCGTTTTCAACAATTTGCAGCTCCCACTGCGAATTGAAGAACCAAAAATATAAAAGATATTTACGAAAATTAAAATTAATTAATTTATTAAAAAAATATTACATATCATAACAATCTATTCAATAGATGAAATAAAAATAAATTACTTTAAGTTACGTGGTAATAATTTATATTACCAATACAGAATATTCGATGATCTTTAGGCTGAAATGTTGCCATATAGAGCTTGATTTGCATAGGCGCTTTAGAAACTGTTTCAATGCAAGGAACAGTCACGACATCTTCCGGGTTCCCGGGATGCCGAGATCCTGCGCAGCCAACAACGGTCAGCGACCGACCTTTGAATGCATGCTGGAGGCAAATTGTATAATAGTGCAGGGTTCAATACGTAAATACAGTCTTTGGAGCAATTTATAAATCAATTACCATGATCACTTTTAGACTCAAATTGGAAAATCAGCCACAACAAATAGGATTACAGAAGGCAAAAAACAGAAATTTTAATCGTATTCAAAATCTGTTACTATGTAATTTAAAATGTTATTACAAAATTTGAAAAAAATATTGCCGATGCCAGATTTCTTACTTTCATCTTCCGGGACTTCATTTATATAAAAACAAAAAAATACTTTTTTAACTTTGTACAATATCGGAAGTATCACGAACTTTCTCTCAAAAATATTTTATGCATATAAACATTGTGCAAAAAATATAAAAAATGTCATTTTATAAAACGTAAGCAATAAGAAAAAGGTCAAAAATTAAAGTAATTGACGAATGTCAGTAGTTTGTAATATATTATATTTTTATAGATTTTAGTGTAAATAAATATGTCCATGTCTTACAAATAAACGAAGGAAGCTTGATTTTAAGCGAGCACAACTTGCCTGCGGCTTTCTTGTCGGCGAGCGAAATTTATAGATATTGTCCGAGCTTTGTTTATCTCGTCTTTTTAACCGACTTCACAAAAGGAGGAGATTTCTCAATTCAACCGTATATATTTTTATTTTTATTTATGTGATATTTCGCGGATAACTTTGTTTATGAGCTAATTTTGATGATTCTTTTTTTGTCGGAAAGGAGATATTGCAAGAGTGGCCCCATGATAAGGAAACCCGGATATGACGATGGCATCACATAGAAATCGAGGGCCATCATTGAATGATGACTCCGTGGCACAGTTGCCAAGGTATTGGCTTCGGCGTCGGGGATGGTGGGTTCGATTCCCACACGGGACAACTATTTGTGTGACCCACAGGTAGTTGTTTCGCATCTGGGCGTTTGTCCGCGTGAAATTTATGTTTGTAAAACGTCCCTACAACACAGGATAATGTTATCCTAAAGTAAGGGCAATGTTTTTTAAAAAACAAAAAAAAAATGTTATAGTTTTCTGATTAAAGTTGGTTTTTTTTTGTTAAAAATTATGTAGTAAATTATTGAGAATCTCGTCTGTTCCTTGGGTGCGTTACATCTTTTATAACACAACACAAAAGTCTTCAGTGTTGCACGAATGAGCAGATCGGTCCAGGGTAGTACCACGAGAAGATCAGCGTGAAGTGGAAGTTTTACACTT